TTCTACTCAGCATGAAAAACTCTTGTATGGTTAAGTCAGTAGATCTATGTTCCAAAGAATGGAATTTCCCACAATTTTCAAAGTTCAAGTCTGGGGCTGCCAGTAAAGAGATACCCCAGTGTCTGATCTTGGCTTCTTGGGATTAGAATGACAGGAGGTTGGAGCCAGAGCCATGAGTCTATTTAGACTAGAATTGCAATCAGAAGTGAAAAGAAACAGTTGGTGCCAAAACTGCATAGTCACCAGAGGGGAAATACTGCTCACATCCTGAGGAAAAAAAATTTGCTGATGCCCTATGTGCAAGGCATGGTCAGAACCTAGGCTAGGTTTGACCAAGCTTTGGTGCCAGATGACTTTTCTTTCTTTCTTTTTTTTGAGAAAGATTTTTGCTATAGGGTGCATGTGTTCGCTAAAGAGACAGAAAACAAGAAATCACCCCCAGTGGGGTGGCCATGCTGTAATCCCTTCTCTTCCATTCTCTTCTTGGGATTTTGGGCATGCACACACATGCACCCTGCATGAGTTTTAAGCCACCAGTTTGAGACTAAAACTGCTGTTGACTACATGGGAGTCCAGCGATGTAACCATTACGCCATCTGCTAGTCTCATCAGATGACTTTTCTAAGTAGGCAGGAAACCCACCTGGTGAGACTCAGGTTGGTGACACAGAAATTTAGCTCTCAAATATTCAGAAGGTCTTTCTAAGATGCAGTCACCTCCCTATAGACTGAGAGCTAGGGAATCAGTGCAAAGGAAATGAAGGACATTTGCTGGAAATGACAATCCAGGGAGGAAAGTTCAATGCTGTTCTACAAGTGGCTGCCTGAAAAAAAGAAAAAAAAAAACCCTTGCCTAGCTGGATTCTAGTTCTAGTTCCTATTAATCACTGGCTGCTCACTTCAGAAATGAATACGGCACACTGATTACATCATTTGAAAATAAAGTTAGACAGCATAATCCAAAATAACCACATAGCAGTGTTGGTTCAAAGATTTCACAGGTTATTTTCCAATATTGAGTATTCTAGCCATGGTGACCTTGTGCCCTTAAGTTGATGAGATCTTGAAGATGAGGGGTCAGTCTCTCAACCACTTTTTAGGAGACTACAAATCATGATTAAAGGAAGAAAAGTTAGAGGCAGAATGGAATAGGGCAAAAGACATAAGACTTGGACTGGAGGACCAAGACTTGGGTCCTACTTCTGCCTCTTATTCATCAATAGACCCTGAGAAGCCACAAAAACTCTTAGTTCTACATCTAAAATGAATATATCGCCTATCCCTGGGATTGTTGGGAGGGATTAAATGAGATAATTCTGTCAGGCTAGCCTTGTAGTGAGGCAGTTAAATGTCCAGTGCACAGGGAGTTGGATCCCAGATGGCCAACTCTGGTTCAAATTCCTGTCCTGGTGGCTTGAAAAACACACCAGGCACGTGTGCATGTGTGCCTACAATCCTGATAGGATGGAGAAATGGAGAACAAAAGGACCGAAGCCTTCTTCTAATCCCTCCCCATCTCTCTCTCTCTCTCTCTGGTGAGAACATACCCCTCTAGTGATTGTTTGGAAAATGAGATAATGTTCATAAACTCCAAAGGATTATATGAACAATACCCTTTATGATAGACTTGAAGAGTTTCTCTCTTGTTTTTTTTGTTTTTTTTTTTTTTTTTTTTTTTTTTTTGCTTCGACATGATGGTTTTGCTATGGAGTATATGTATTCACTAGAGACAGACCATGAGAGAAAGAAAAGTGAAAAATCACCCCCCAGGGGGATGGACATGATGCAATCCCTTCTCCTCCAGTCTCCTCTTGGGCTTTTGGGCATGTACACACATGTGCCTGGTGCAATTTTCAGCCTGTGGGGCCTGGGACTTAGCCATGGGATCCAATCACCTTAACCTCTACTCCACCAGCTGCCCTGAAGTTTCTCTCTCAAATTCAGGAGAACAAAACTAATTAGTTTAAATTTCAGTACAAAAACTGACAAATCCTAGCCAAAAGCCTTTCCTTGAAAACACCCAAATATTAGATTTAAATAACATGTAGACTTGGATGTTACAAAGAGTACAATTTTTCAAGAGTTCAGTCATTTGTTTCACATACAGAAACATCTGGGTCAGTTCACAGAACTTCAAGCAGGACTGAATGTTATGTGAAGATAATGATACTGACTACTGAGGTATAAGAAAACACTGTGACTAAATATATCTGATACTATTTGATGAAGCTGTCCTCCACAAAGTTGAAGAATAACTTCTTTAAGAATTTATTCAGTGAGCTGGGTGTGGTGGCACATGCCTATAGTCTCAGATAAGCAGAACGCTAAGGCAGGAGACTGAGACATAGCAAGATCCAG